TCTGATACATCTATGAATGAATTGATCAATGTAATTAAAGATCTAATTTACAACTAATAATATGAGGATGAAGATCTTGACGAACGAGATATCTTTTATTTTAATAATGAAGAAGACTTATCTGATGAAGAAAGTTTATTTGATTTTAACGAAAATGAGCTATTTGTTAATCCTTGGAATAACAATCCAGCAGTATTCTTAGCTCAAGCTGAACAGCCAAAACCTCAAAATAATGAATGAAATATCCAAGAAGGCTTACATGTTGGACCCTTAGATGTTAATCAACAAGAAATCTTTGAGCAATTCGCTGAAGAAAATAAAGATATCTGTGCATTTAGTCAAACAAAAATTGGTCATACCACTTTATTTCAAAATCAAATTCCAACAGGAGACTATGAACTAATCGTTAGCCCTGCATATCGTCTAAAGAATCCATCTAAATTAAAATTTCTTTAAGAGGAAATTAAACGAATGGAAGAAAATGATATTCTTCAAAAATCAAAAAGCCCTTGGGCTTCTCCAGTTATTATTGTATCCAAAAAAACTGGAGATGCACATATTTATATTGATTATAGAAAACTTAATACTATAACTAAAGGAGATGCTTATCCTCTTCCACTTATTGATGACTTGCTTGAGAAATTTAAAAATGCAAGTTAGTTTTTTACACTTGATCTTGCTAGTAGATATTGGCAAATAGAAATAGAAGAGAGTGATTGTGAAAAAACTGCTTTTATCTGCCCATATGGTCTGTATGAATTCAAAAGAATGCCTTTTGGATTAAAGAATGCTCCTGAAACTTTCCAACGTTTAATGAATTTTGTTTTACAAAAATACCTCTACAAGTTTGTAGCAGTATATTTAGATGATATTATCATCTACTCAAAAATATATGAAGAACATCTACAACATTTGCAACTGGTATTTGACGCAATTAGAAAGGCAAATTTAATGATTAAATTAAAAAAGTGCCAATTTTGTCTTTCAAATATTCCGTTCCTTAGACACATAATAGGAAGAAGTGATTTGCAATCAGATCCTGAAAAAATTCAAAAAATCAAAGAACTTTCAGCATCTACAGGGTTAACTGAATTAAGAGCAGCCCTTGGATTGTTCTCATATTATCGAAAGTTTATAAAAGGATTTTCTCAAATTGCTAAACCAATGACAACCTTACTAAAGAAGGATGCTCCTTATGTTTGGACAAGTAACCAATAAAATTCTTTTGATAAATTAAAAGAAAAACTGATTACATCACCAATCCTTCAATACCCTGATTTCTCTAAGGAATTCATACTTTATACTGATACCTCAGGAGTAGGACTTGGAGCAGTATTATCTCAACTCGATGAAAATAAAAATGAACATGTTATTGCATATGCGAGCAAAAGCATGAATAAAGCTGAGCAAAACTACCCAATTACAGATCAAGAATGTTTAGCAGTAGTTTGGGCTATTAGAAATTTTCATTACTATCTTAGCTCTAAACCTTTCACTGTTGTGACTGATCACTCTGCCCTTAAATAGTTTAGAACTTTAAAAATACCAAAAGGTCGACATGTACAATGGATAATGAAATTATAACAATATAATTTTAATATTCAATATAGACCTGGGAAAAATAATGCTAACGCCGATGTATTATCTCAATTAATCTCTGAAAAAGAACAAGATAATTCCTCAAAAGACGTCTTTATACTTACAACAAATGAAAATGATTATGAAGAAATAGAATGGCATATTTCTTCTGTAAATAGTAAAACGTCATCAAAATGATCACAAAAGGAAATAGATTTAGAGGAAGAATTAATGTCACAATACTCCCATACACCTTTAATCACTGTAGGATATTAATATCCTAAGAATGAATTAGAAGATATTTTTAAAGAAAATATCAAGATTAAGCAAGTTATAGCTAATCAACCAATAACTAAAGGAGGATCACAATATAACTATAGTTGTAATATCGAAAACCATCATATTTACACATATTGCAAAGCATGTAAGAGAAATTTGCCATATGGAACAATTGAACACCATTGTATCATTGGATTTGACCTAGGACAAATTCAACCAGATATGAATCCTAATTACTTAATTAATGACCTTTAGTGGGATGAACCAATCTTAGTTCAACAAGAAAACCTTTACTCTCAACTTTATTATATGCTTGAAAACCTTCAGCGTTTTCTTGTTTCTCACATTTAAATATTTTGTTTCATACCCATATTTATTTTATTAATAATAATTATTTAGAGTAAAAGTGAAAGTGTCTACATTGTGATAGGCAGCTCAGACATCATGGAACTCAATAAATATAATAATTTATTTGTTTATATAACCTTAAATCAATTACCTATATCTTTTAACACAAACGAAATTGCAAAATTAAAAAGACAATTAAAATTTTATACAGTTTGACTCGATTTCTTATACAAAAAGCAAAGACAAAGAAATACCTCTGAATAGTTTTTAAGAGTTATCAAAGAAACTGAATTAGATGCAATCCTTTACATAATGCATAATAATCCAACAGCTAGACATTTTTCTATTGACATTATGTTTAACAAAGTTCATACTAGATATTATTGGCCTCAAATGTATGAAAGTATCAGAAAATATGTTCAATCATGTGATGCTTGCCAATGACGAGAAAGGCCTAAAATGAAAAATGAATTACATCCTATTCCAGTTGATTCATCATTTTATAGAATTGGAATAGATTTTGTTAGACCTTTACCACGAACTAGTAGAGGAAATAAATATATCATTGTTGCTATGGACTATTTAACAAAATGGTCAGAAGCTAAAGTAGTTAGGGATAACACTGCTAAAAGTGTCATCAAGTTCTTATATGAGAATATTATTTGCCGACATAGATATCCAACTAAGATCTTATCAGATAGGGAATCTCATTTTAATAATCAATTAATCACAGAATTAATGAAACAATTTCATATTCGTCATAATCTATTCACTCCTTATCATCCTAGAACGAATGGATTAGTAAAAAGATTCAATAAAACTCTATGTGAAACATTAGCAAAATTTGCTAAATTATCTACGCAATGGGACCAATATATTTCTCCTGTTCTATTTGCTTATCGCACAAGCAAACAATTAGCCACAAAAATTGAATCTTTTTATTTAGTATATAGAAGAAATGCAATGTTACCTATTGATAATCCTGATGATTCTAATGACCTTTGTACCAACCAGAATTTTACTATTCAAGAAAGAATTGATCATTTGATCAATAAATTACCCCTAGTACGACTAGATGCAAAAGTACGAATACAACTTGCATAATAGCAACAAAAGAAATACTATAACAAAAACACAAAGATTTCTGTTCCACATAAAATTGGAGATAAGGTTTTGTACTTCAAAGCTGCAAAAAATAAAACCCATTTTAGAAAATTAGATCAAAAATGGAAAGGCCCTATTATATCCATTAAATCTTATTAAATAGCTCTTACAAAATAAGAGAATTAGATAGTCGTGTACTTCGTAGTCCAGTAAATAGAGATCTTTTAAAATTATATAAAGACCCTTCTTTTCAGATTTAAATTTTTTTTTATTTTATTTTTTCTTTATTATTTTTATCATTATTATGGAACAACTTTATATCAAAGATTTGAACAAAACTCTATCTGAAGAAATAACTCCTGCTATTTCTCCATATTCAAGTGGAATGGAACTACAAAAAAAATTTCAACTAACATATCAAATGTTATTAAGAGCTTCACAAATGAAAGATCGAACTCTTTCTTTGATAAACGCTTATTACTTAGAAAAACTTCTAGAAATAGAAACTTCTTCACCAGCATAACGAAGTCAATTGAAAGGACTTGTCTCTAAATATTATAGTTCTGTCTCAATATGTATTTATTACCTTTATGAAATGCTAAGTGTTGTTAACGTTACTCTTTCCGTCGAATAAGTTAACTATGATTTGAAGTCAGGAAGGCAATAGCTATGACTTAAATCCAATCAACTTGATACGCTATTTATTAGAGTTTAATTAGTTAACAAGAAATAAATTATAAGTTTTATGTTTGCAAAATGTTAAGAGTGTTTATTATTGTTATTAGATGTATTTTAAATACAATGTTAAGAACTTGTTGGAATCTGTTAAAATCTGTCCTTTTTCCAAGGCATTTTCATGCCCTTTATATAGGAAAATACAATTAAAGAAAATCTATAGTATATAAGATACTACTGACAATAATAACAGAACTAACAAATATACTAATTATGTTAAATATAATATAAATGATAATAAAAATATAAATAATAAAAATATAATAAATATTATGTCTGTCCTTTTTGGCAGATATGGCATATTTGGCAGGTATGTCATATTCGACTGGTCTGTCAATTTCTGCCAGTTTCAGTGTAAATCAAATTCAACAATCAAAACATATATCGTTGAAGAACCTTTATCAACTCCTAAGTCATGTATACTGGTCTCTAGTAAACGAAGCTATGGATATTTGGGCAAGAGCTCAAAATTTAGAAGGGGAGGATTGAAGCTGTGATCCGTGACTGTGCTAAAATAAAGTCATGTGATTTAAATGATCGACATAGTTGACGAAGTTAACGAAGTTGACAGAGTTGCTAAAGTTGTCAATATTGATTAAGTTGACATAGTAAATAGATGAATTATATTTATTATATTTACTAATTATATCATATTTATTATATATATTATATTTATCATAGTTATATTATTTGTTTTCTTTGTTATATTTGTTATAGTTGATTTTATATTATTTTATTTTATATAAATATCTTGTATTTTTCCTTGAGTTGAAAAGTAACTCAAGTTGAGGTTTTAGGATAAACTAAGAGTTCAATAAAGGAATTGTTAAATTCATTTACTATTGCCTTTTTTCATGTCTTCATATAGGCATGATTGTGATATTGTTTTGTATTTAATTCGACAGATTGAATTAAAAGTTTATCGTTTAAGTTTACAGATACTAAGCAAACAATGCTTAACTAGTGCTCCAAGCCAGTCGAGTTGATCCAGATTGTTCGACCTGACTTGAATTTTTTCTCGAGTCAAGTTTATTATTTTTATGACATGAGTCCTAATTTGATAAAACCCGTCAGGTCAGAGTCACGTTTTTCCTAGACTCAGGTGATCCAGGTGATCCAGATGATCAGTGATTTAATTTTTCGCAATATAAATTATGCGCTAGACTAATTTACGTTATGCGACTTGAATTTGTAAACAAATAATATATAATGAGTGAAACTATAGACATTACCAATATTGACGTTACCGAAAGTTCTAAAAAACGATTGCAGAGTAAACTTTTTGTCAAAGAATTTTTTGAAGAGAAAGTTCTTCTGCCGAAACATAAGTTTTTAAGTACACATCGCGAAGTTTGTTGTCTTAATTGCTCATATGTATTTTTTTATATTTTTAAAAAGAAAACAGTATATTATGTATATTTTTATATCTTTTTTATTTAAAAATATTTTAGAAGTCATAAAACATAGCTTCGCAAAATTGGTGATTTCAAATATAACAAATCTTTAGCGTCACTTAGAACGTCATTACCCTGATAAAAATCCAAAAAAAATAAAGCACTTAATACCGTATATTGCGGATCATAGTATCCTGGATCCTTTGCAAATTTTAGCAATTTTTGGCCATACCTGGGATACATTACACTGGTGGATACTATATATAGGAGGGATACAGAAATTGTAAAGTTCTCTGGGTACTTACCGTGTATAATACCCTCTTACCACTAACGTGATCTGTCATATTATCTGTAACACATTTTACCATAATTATAAATTTCTATCTAAAGCTTACGCTCAGCTGACAATTCTAAATATAGTATTGAAAAATCCACATGATGTGCTTCGTTTTATTCTCAGATAGCTTGAAGCTGTTCATCTTATTGAGAAAAATAAATATGCTTTCCTTATTTTTTAAGTTTCGTTATTTTACATATCTTTTTACATGTTCTTTGTTTTTATTTTACAAAATTTGTTTTATCTTTTATTTGTAATGCAAAGTGTAAAATGGTAGTTATTGGAAAGAAACAAAAAATCACGCAACTGATACCACAAAAATGACGGAGACAGTGGAATGTTAGAGAAAAACTTATGGTAGTAAATTTTTTGAAAATAATAGAAGAAATGTTTGTGAAATGGTAAAATAATTCAATATTAAACCAAAACAAGTGCGTAATTGGATTAAAAAAAAGGAAAAAATGTTAGAAACAGCATCTTATGTAACAAAAATCCATCTAGAAAAACTTTCTAAATATCCAAACTTAGAAGATAATCTTTTTTTATAGATTACTGAAAAAGAACTAATAGAAATGCTGTAACTCAAAAATTAATTATTCGTAAAGCCATTGTTTTATCTAAAGATCAGAAATTTATGTTAAATAATCCAAATATTGCTGGATTTAAATTTTCAAGAAAATGGCTTGATGGTTTTTTGGGAAGGTATGATCTAAGTGAATACTGCAAAATAATAGTAGCATAATGTTTTCCATCTGAATTAGTTGAACTTCAACAATTCTTTTTGAGTTATATATTATATATGAAAATGCAATATAAATATTCATTGAAGTACATAGGAAATATGGATGAAATACCGATGTGGTTCGATCTACCTAGCAATATCACAATCAATAAAAAGGGAGAAAAACTATATCAATTTATATAACAGGACATGAATGAACATCTTTTACAGTTATACTTAGATGTATGGCAAATGGTACAAAACTTCCTGCTGTATGTATTTTCAAACTAAAAAAAATTCTAAAAGAAAATTTTCAGATAGCATTTATGTACGTGTGAATGAGAAGGAGTGGGTAAATGAAAATGAAATGCTATAGTGGATTAAAAAAGTGTAGACCTCACGAAATCCATTTGGAAATTCACATTCTCTTTTAGTTCTTGATGCCTTTCGTGATCACACTGTAGATAATGTAAAAAATCAGTTAGTTGAAAAAAATACTAATTGCTGTAATTCCTGGTGGTTGTACTTTAAAGTTATAACCATTAGATGTTTCGATTAATAAAAGTTTCAAGTCAGAAATAAATTAAATTTTTATTTATAATTCAATTTTATACATTTATTATAATATTTTAATCTATATTATTTATATAATTTAGGTAAAAGAAAGATATAATGAATGGATGATTTTTAATGATCATACGTTTACTGCTATAAACAATATAAAATGACCTTTTTATTCAACTATTATGATTTAGGTAAAAGATTCATGAAAGGAAGTTAATATTGATCTTATAAAAAATTCTTTTAAATTCTGTGGCATTTTCACAAAACTTAACAGATCAGAAGATGATCTATTACAGTCAGGAATTTTACCAAATATAGAATTTCTAAATACAATGTTGATTGACAAATGATCGACATTCTAGAAGTTCATAAAAATTCACCAATCATTCTAAAATTATAAATGATCGACTAACTGAAATATATTAAATATATTAACTGTGACCGGTTATAGTTTTTTTTAATTTCTTTTTTTTTATTATTTTTAGTAGAGATGTAAGACCTTTTTGCGTGGTATGCTAAACGATTACATAATTAATCGACCGTGACCATCGTCTGGAGCAATTCATTAATAAGTTTCTTTTTTATTTTAATTGTAATTTTTTTTTTACTCTCCCTCTCCCTCTTCTTCTCTCCTTCTCTCCCTCTTCCTTTCTTCCTTTCTTTCTCTTTTTCTCCTTCCTTTTTTTGTAGGAATGGCTTCAGATTCTGAATTTTCTTGAAAATATATCTTTCGGTAAGTTTCAGGCGAAATGGGTGGAGTTCTTCATTAAGAAAGAACATTACTAACGTTCTTTTCCTTTATTTTTTTTGTAGGAATGACTTCTAGTAACCTTTGGCTCTTGGAATTTCTCTTGAATCGGCTCTTGAGGGTAAGTATTGAATGGGTGGGATTCTTCTTTGAGAAAGAACGTTACTAACATTCTTTTTTCTTTCTTTTTTGTAAGAACGGCTTCTAAGAACATTTGGATTATGGAAGTTCTCTTGGGTCAGCTCTTGTAAGGTAGGTTTTGAATGGGGTGGGATTCTTCTTTGAGAAAGAATGTTTCTAACGTTCTTTTTTCTCTCTTTTTTGTAGGAACGGCTTATAAGAACCTTTGGACCATGGAATTTCTCTTAGATCGGCTCTTAGAAGGTAGGTTTTGATAGGATAGGGTTCTTCTTTAAGAAAGAACGTTTCTAACATTCTTTTTTCTCTCTTTTTTATAGGAACGGCTTATAAGAACCTTTAGATCATGAAATTTCTCTTGGATCGGCTCTTAGAAGGTAGGTTTTGATGGGGTAAAGTTCTTCTTTAAGAAAGAATGTTTCTAACGTTCTTTTTTTTCTCTTTTTTGTAGGAATGGTTTCTAAGAACCTTTGGACCATAGAATTTCTCTTGGATCGGCTCTTGGAAGGTATGCTTTAAATGGGATGGGTTCTTCTTTAAGAAAGAACGTTACTAACATTCTTTTTTCTTTCTTTTTTTATAGGAACAGCTTCTGTATCATAGAATTTTTCTTGAATCAGTGCTTTAGCTTTATAACTTGTTTCATGAATTATATAATTAATAGCGATAGTATTTCATTTAATAATATCTTAATATTTTATTTATTTGATAATATTAGTTGATAATATACAAAATTTTTGAATACATTATAAATAAATAAATAGATTATTCAAATATTATGTTTCTTCGTTAGTATTAATGCTA